ACAGCCAGGTGCTGGCGGCGGCCGTGGGGCGAGGACAGCACGCACATGGCCACGCGCCGCAGCACGTGCGCGCTGATCAGCTGCCGGATGGTCTGGCCCTGGTCCCCGCTGTAGTTCATGCGCACGTTCTCAAAGGCGCCTTCCTGCGAGCCGAGGGTGGGGACCTGAGCCGGGGGAAGCACCAGAGGGTGTCACTGGAATGTCTCTGTTTAAAAGCCACTCCCCCCATCCACACTGTTCATTCCTTTTGTTCCGTACCATCAACTGATCTGTCATTTCTACTGATTTGTCCAAAGTGTGGAGCTCACTGAGAGCCTGCTGGGCACGGCTGCTGCTCCCCATGGCTGAAGCTTGCTGGAAGTTGACCTGGATGGCATCCATCAGGAAATTCAGCATCTCCAGCACCAAAGGTGCAAAGGAAAAGTTGGCCTACAAGACACAGATCAGGCAAATGAGAAACAAGAGATGGGAGCTGCACATGAACTGCTTTTTAAAGCCTGACACCCCTTTATGACCCTCTCATCTCAGCTTATAACCAACCCAGCCTGCCCAAGATCCTCATTATAACCCATCTCTGTTTAGAAGCTGACAATTATACCTGGGACTGCAGCTCCTCTCGACAGCCCTCCACGTTTCTGCACAGGCTGCTCTTTTTGGGCTTCTCCTCGTCGGGGCCCTTGCCCTCGCTGATGGTGACCTTGGCCTTCTCAGCCGGGGACGTGCTGGCGTGGCGGATGACGCTCTCGGGCACGCGGGGCTCGCTCTGGAAGGCTGATTCCTTCATGGTAGAGCTCATCCCACTGCTGGGAGTTCTCTTCACCAACGCCTGGGAATGACAGAGTAACGCTAAAACCCCAAACCAGGCTCAAACTGGCTATACTGATGAAGTGAACACAGATTGTAAAAGCAGCAATTCAAGCATAGTTCTAAAGAAATAGCATCCTGCATGTGAGTCTCCACCCAAGGATTAAAAACTTTCCATATTTAAGATATAACTATTTCATTTGCTGCTAGTGGAAAACATGGGAAAAGCTGTTTTTTGCTGTGCAGCAAATTCTGTAAAGGCAGGTAGCATCTCAGGAGTCACTAGGATGCAGATTTACCAATGCTCTTATTTGGTGCAAAAAAATTAATTTCCAGGCAAGCTGTAAATTCTGAGGGTTCATTATAAAGTCAAAGCCTTCAAGTCTTAACACTTCTGAGTACTCAAATCCTGACATAACCTACTGCAGAACAGAAAATTGCAAAGGACTTGAAAATGAAGACATAAAGAATTTACCAGGCAGCTGCCATCCTCTTTGGCTCCACAGTCACAGAAGAAGGATCCGTACTTGGCGTAAGAAATCTCATGATCCTTGTGACAAACTTTAGCACAAACTGTGCAAACACCAACCCCATCAACCATCTTGCAAGTGTGACAGTGGTACCTGCCCAAAATAAGCCAGGTGAGTTTTGACAGGCAGTGCCTTGAGGCTCACAAACTACACTAGTTTCCTTCCCAGTGGCCAGAAATACCACACTGAAACTCTGAACACAAGCTTGAGATTCTTACCAGTGTTGATTCATGAATTCTTTCTGTGTGATGGTGAAGGTACAGAGTTTATTACAGAGAGAATCTTCATCCTATCCAGAAGAAAATCGTTTTAGGAAGGTGTTCTAACTGCAGCTACAGTAAAGTACGTGTACAGAATAAATTCCCCAGACACCAAAGACACATTTTAAGAATAGCAAATTTTAGCAACACTGAGCTAGAAGGCAGCTGGTATCAAACCACATGGAGAGAGGAGATGGTGACACATTGTAGTAACACAAAATGGTTAACAGAAAAAAAATAAATTGTAACAAAAAAATTGATACAAAAAAATTAAGGACACATTCTAACAGCTTTTTCTCACTACTCAACAGAAGTTATATTACTAATCTAAGTTGCTTGCTGATACAAAAACTACTAATTTCCACCAACCAGCAGGAACAAGCCTATTTTATTCCATTTCTTCATTTTTTAATTTAAAAAAATTTAAATATTTGTTGACATCACAAAGTTAACACATCTATGCGGAAATGACAGATCCTCTCCTCCAGACCTGACACGGGTCCTTCACTCAGTGAACACAAAATCTCAATTGATAAGCCGAGTGATTTGGGAGGTTCAAAGTAAGCCCTCCTGTCCTTTTGCAGCATCCACTGTGCCTGCTGCCTACCGAGTCCTCAGCCTGGGAGTCCTCCTCCTCCACAGCCAGCTCCTCCACCCAGTCCGAGTCCACCTCGATGGCGCGCTCCTCGCCGTCCACGGACAGGTGGCTGGGGCCCTGCCCGCTGCTCTGGCTCAGGGCGTTGGTGACATCGGCCAGGTAGGACACGATGTGGCACGTGCACTCCAGGATTGTCACGTGCTGGGGAGCAGAAGGCAAGGAAAATCACAGGAGAGTCACCCCCTGGTCAAATGGCTTTAAAATTCCCACCAGGCAACCAAACCAAACCAGGACAGCTGAATTCGTGCCTGGGAGTCATTCCTGCAAGGGCAGCACCAGCACAAGTCTTACCTTCCCTTGCATGACGTTGGCATTCATTTTCTCTACCACGTTCTTTTGAGACAGGTATTTCTTGCTGCAACACAGAACACTGGGAATTACTACAGAATGGTTCAGGATGGAAAGGATCCTAAAGCCCATCTCATCCCACCCCCTGCCATGGGCAGGGACACCTTCCACTATCCCAAGCTGGACCAAGCCCCATCCAACCTGGCCTGGAACACTCCTTGGGATGAGGAGTCCAAAATCCCTCACTCCAGCTGACAGTCTTTGAGAAGAATAAACTCAGTCCTGACCAACTGCTTCAAGCATTCAGTTTGCTTTAGATTAACAACAGGGAATGCATAAATGCAGTAATTAAACCACCCAGAGTAACAAAACAAAATATGATTGTTTGGAACAGATGGACATGAATCAGCCTCCCTCAGACACTGTATCCCAAACAACAAACAATAAACTAAGAGAGAAGGGATTATCTGTAAACACAAATTTCTGTCCCCAAAATAAATTTTAAAACCCCACAAATGAAGCATCAACAGTACAGAGTTCACTCTTACCATCTGCCCAGCCAGTCCACAGCAGCACCATGAAGCTGGAGGTGTCCTGCCCCTTGTCCTGCACTGGCCAAAGTTGCCATGACGACCATCAGCTCAGGAAAGCCCGTGCCATCCCCATTGGCCAACATCTCTGTTGCCATTGGTATCAGAGTGCTGAGCAGAACAGTGCACACGCCTTCCCCCACTTGGCTGAGCAAAAAGAGGAGAGTTTCACACAGGTACCACAAAGAACCAGCACAACCCACACAAGATTGCTCTAGAGAACATTTGCAGAGCACACACAAGACAGGACCAAGGCCGTGCTTTACCTGTTCTCCCGAACAATGTAAGTGGTCAGGAGCTGCAGCAGCTGCCTGTTCTCCTGCACCACGTCCAGCTGGTCCGAGTCCTTGGGGGGGGACATGGTCATCCTGGTCAGCCAGGCCTGCAGTCTCACGGGCTCCACACAGGCCAGCTGGGCCAGGGAGCCGCAGAGGCGCAGCAGGCTGGGGTTGGGGCTCTTCTCAGCTGGGGGAAAAGTTACTGTCAGTGACAGATGCTCCAAGGAGCATGTGTGAAAATGGCTTTCCTGGAAAGCGTGAAGCTGTGACCCCACTCCCTCCCACAGATTTTCTTCCAAGCACCTTGCAATCTCAGACAACACAAGAGCAGTGTGAAGTGGAAAAGGCAGGATGGAGGAGATCCTACTGGCACTTACTCAGCTGGAAGAGTTTGGTGAAGAATTTCAGCACCCTGTTACAGAACTTGGCCGAGAGGTTCTCGTTGGCCGTCGCCATCATGATCTGCACCAGCTCTCCACTGTAAAGAGCAGAGAATTAAGTCAGCTTTGTAAAGAGCAGCCCATTCCCCTTCTCCACTGGCTCCACTTCTCTCCACCCTCACGTTTCAGGCTGGCAGGAGTTTGTTAGCACTGCTCAGCAGCCAAACCACAGAAACTGCTTTCAGCCAAACAGCAAACCCAGCTCAGACCAAAACTCATAAATGGGCTCCTCAGTAGCATTTTCAGTGTTCTCTACATATCCAGTCACAAAAGGGCCTGAACTGGCTCCAAAACAGAAGTCAAGATTTTCTTGCCTATCTTTCCCTTCCATGCTAACAGTGCACAGCCACCAGGCTGCTTTCATTCTGAACTGTTCAACAGGTAGAGAGAAAAACAGGGCAATGGTCAGCTTTCTGATAGAGAAAGCCTCTTCTCTTGCTCACCTCATACTCAGAACACTGTGATTGTGCTAGGCTATTTCTATCACAACTGTTCTAGGCTGCTGCCAGCACAATTTATCTTTAGGATTCTAAGGCAGGCCAACCCTCCCCCCCCCACCCTTATAATTATCAACCTGTGGCCTCACAGAAGCACTGAGAGAATTTGGGATTTTGCAGCTTGGTCTGTAAGTGCCTTATGGAGCAGCATCTCTCAGAAAGCTGCTCTGACAGAACAATTATCCTGTAAGATTCCCCACTGATAATCACTGTGAGGCCTCTCTCAATATCTGATTTGGCCAAAGATCCAGGTCCTCTCCTCCCAGAGTCTCTCCCACTCTCCTGCACTGCCTGAAGGATATTCTGGCTCTACAGAGTCTGTATTTTCCTGTACAATGGCATTAACATCACCTTGGTGTCTACACTGACAAGCTAACAGAAAACGGATGAGAAATGAAGTCCTTGGGCTACAACTTCCACGGTGACTTCACCTTTCTGAAAAGAACTCCTCCATGGCTTTTCTGGCCTGGCTGCTCTCCAGCTGTTTCTCCAGATGCTGCAAACATTCCTCCAAGATGGACTCATCCAGGCCACTGAGGATTAAGAGGGATAGGTAAGGATCAAATACATGAGGATGAAATAAGAACATCTAAAAACAATTTCAACAGTCACAACAGTTCTGAGAGGCCAGAAGTGATCTATTTGCCATTACAATTCCAGTAATTTTTCCACCAATTGAAAGCAGCTATTCCTCCAACAGACAGAGGAGAAAAACAACTGATGAATGAACAACTTTACATAATCACCAACAAATCCACCAAGTTAGAACAAAGGGACACATGATGCTGTAAGGCAAATCCCAGCCAGAAACCTAAAATAATCCAGACCTTTCAGACACCTCACACACAAATTCCTATAAAGAGCTTCTCCTTTTACACCTCAAATCTCTTCTACTGTTACTCCTCCCCATTCTCTCTTGCTCTCACCCCCACTCCACAATTCTAGTAATGTGAAAAAAAAATCTCATATTTCTAGTATACAAGTACAGAAGCTTTCAATAGACAAAAACAAGCTGATTTTTTCTGTTCCATAACCAACCCTGCTGTAGCCAATCTTTGCACACAGGTTTGTTACCTGTTTGGGTCAGAATGATGGGCCAGTATGTTATAGCACCCCGTGATCAACTTCTCATAAACACGTGCCAGGAACTCATCGGAGTCCGCCGGGCCCAGGATCCTTTCCAGGGAGTTGCTGCTGATTTCTGCCACGCTCTCTGTGCTGGTCTCCAGAAGGAGGGGCAGCAGGGAATGGATCACCTGGGGTGGGTTTGGATCATCTGACCAGCTTGAAAAGACAAGGACACAAGTTAATTCTCCACACAATGTATCACAGATCATCCCTGCTGGAAACCAGAATTCACATTAAGTGAGGCACAACTCTGGATGGAAGTCAGTGATGAAACCCTTTTTGTAAAGGTGGGATAAAAACACTGTCCCAGCCATTTTCCCCCCTCAGAAAAAGAGTTACCCTTTGGAAAATTCTACATGTTACTTTTGTGTATATATACAGTTACAACATTTGCCTAGACAGTCCCACTATCATATATCATGGCTTTGATGCACGGTTGTCCGCATTGTCAACAACTACTTTTTGGTTTCAGAGTACTTTAGACTAACTCCCTGGAAAAAAAATGGCATTTCACTTTTCTTTAAACATTAAAGACTTCACGCAAGTGAATGATAACAAAACACAAATGAATTAGTTAGATCCATATCATGTTAGTTTATATCCCCTTTTCTTCAAGTCCATATTTGACTAACAGGTTTTCCCCAGGGAGCTTGAGTTTTGGAGATACTACAGGAAGACAAAGACTGCCTGTCATTCATTTGGTACTTGGAACTGTGAACTGGAAGGCTGAGGTCAGAACCAGTGCCAGGCCAGTAAGTGTTGCACAGACACAGCCTCAAGTCAGCCCTGGAGGACACAGACCAAAGCACCCAGCAGCGTGTGCAACACACAGAGTAGCACAAGGCCTGACTTACATGATGAGATCCCCGGTGAGCCTGACCAGGGACAGCAGGGTGTGCTTGAGGGAGGCTGCCAGGGGCAGGCTCTGGCTGCAGAGGGTGCCCAGGTGGGCGGCCTGCACGGCGCTGATGTAGCTTTCTGCAGGGATGGTGTCGTTGGCAAAGGCGTTGCGCTGGGGACGACACACACACACGTCAGAGCCCTGCACTGGGACAGAGCCACACACTGCCCCCAATCCCAGCAATGCCTGCAGCTGCAACTCACACCACGTCAGGCCCTGAGGCTGGACTCACCCATGAGCCAATGTTGGGGAACTCGTTGGTGTGGATGTTGTTCCAGGATTCACACAGGGTCTGCACAACTGATGGCAGGTTCTGGACAAGGGTTGGACCTGCAGTTACACAGAACAATCAGGCACTGAATAAATTCATAGGTCTACAAGTAAAAATAATCCCTAAGCTTTTAAGAGCATCCCAGCTTCTTTCACTTTATTAAAACTGCAGAAAACATGGCACAAATACTAATTCATAGAAGTATTCAGCATACCAACATTTCAAAGTACCCCTTGTTATTCCACGCCACAAGCTCCAATATGGTTACAAAAACATTTCACTGATCCCTAGGAGCCCACAAGATAATGATCCTTTCAAGGTTTACCCAGCTGTTTCAGCTGGTAGGATACTGAAGAGACTCTGCAGTGTGCTGCTGGCAGCACACCTCACTCATTTGAACAGTGGTGGAGATCACTTTGAAATTGGGAAGATCCAGCTGCAGTGGGGCACCCCGAGCCCCAGCACTGCCCTGCCCCTCACCCAGAGTGTTGGACTTGCAGCGGCCGGAGCCGATGGCCAGGACAGCGGCGTAGCCCCGCAGCTTCTCCTCGGAGGGTCTGCTGTCCGAGGAGGCCTCCTCCGAGAGGCTCCGCAGCAAGTAGGACCTGCAGCATGGAGGGGATTTACCTCAGCAATCGGCTCTGCGCTTCGGAACTGAGTGTGTCCATGGAGTGACAGATAAAACACCAACTTCTGAAGTTCTGCCCCACACTTCATCTCACACCACTAAGGGACTTCTGGGCTTTTATCCCCTCTAAGCTACTTACCAGGAGAAGTGCCCAAAAAGAAAAAGCTGATTTATTTTTGCTTTCTTCTACACAGGTTCTAACGAGAGTTTAGAAGAATTTAGATTTTTAATGTAAGAATTAACCCCCCCTCTCTTTCTTGATGGTCTGACAGCCTCAGTATTATGCCAGAGAAATAACCTTAAGTAGCACTATCCTAGAGGGTGGTTTTATCTTTGGAGGAAAAGGTGGTTTTGCAAACTTGCAAGGAAGCCTTGAAGATCAGACAAGGTGGCTACTCAGAAACAACAAAGTCCCATGCATGGCTTGAGAAGCTACTTGTTATTCTTCTTTTAAAGCAAGGGACCCTCTGGAGGACACAAAGTAATTACTTCAGACTAAAAGCTCCCAGGCACTTCTAAGAAAACACCACACAAAATGCAGAGAAAGACCAAAGCACAGCGGGAAATTGTATTCCTGCTGGAAATCCCAAGGACTGTACCTGGTAAAAGTAGCATAAGTGTCAATGAGCTGCAGCGTAGCAGGGAGAAGGTTCTTTGTTATCTCTGAGGACTTGTGGGGGTCAGTTTCTGCAGCTGACTTGGAAAAGTGCTCATCTAGAGAAACCTGGATCTTGGAGATGGCAGCATCAAGGGTGTAAATGGACTGTAAACTGGGGACTTCGTGCAGCTGGAGAATGGTCGTGCAGTCGACAGCACAGAAAGATGAGATCTGAAAATGGATGGAACAGTAAGTGCAGATCATCCCACAGAAGCAGAGGTTTGTATATCCAGCTGCACTCCCACACCTCACCTGTCGAGCAAAGTATTCCTCTGCTATTTCCACGTCGTACTTCACTGAGATGCATTTGCTGGAGGTCAGTTCAATGAGAGGAGCAGCATGCTCAGCCTTCATGCCCTGCTTGATAAGGTGATCCTACAAATGCCAAAACCCAGATCTATCACACTTGAACAGTGCTCTGCAATTAACCAGTTTAGAAAAGACAGGCACAAGTCCCCTCAACACAAATCCCACGTGCAGTCAGCAGGGAGGGACCGGCACTGTCACTGTCACCACCCCCACGCCAATGGAGCTGAGGCTGAACCTTGATCCACACGACGTAGGACGGGATCTGCAGGCGGGAAGACCAGCGCAGGGTGTGCAGGAGGTCACAGTCACTCATCTCAGGGGTGTTCATGGCCAAATGGTGCATGTAGCTTTTGGAGGGAGGCAGAATCCCCAGGATCCGCCACAGGATCAGGAAGTAGTATTGAAGGGCACAGGCTTCCTAAACAGAGGAACAGTTGGAAAAATTAGTACAGAAAGATTGCAGACTCCATCACAACAGCTACTGAAATATCTCTTCAGGGACTCCACACTCCTGCAGATGTGCCAAATCAGATGAACACATTCTGGACTGAGTTTCTGTCTGTTATTAAACAATAAAATATGCAACATAGGAGAAAAGAAAAAGGAAAAATTATACTATTTTCTCCTGTTTAATTGTGTTCTAGCCACACCTCTTGAAATTACCATGGACTTACAGCAAGTCTGAGGCACATCATGATTTAAAAGCTCAGGAGATGTGCAGCCACCACAAACACTACAGTTAGTTATGAGATTTTAAAGTTCCTTGTTACTCCAAGCACAGTCCAAAATACTTCAGAGTTAAATACTTTGCTTGAAAATACTAAGCTTGAAAACTTGTTATTCCTCAACACAGGCATCAAGACAGTCTTACCAGTGCAGTGACATTTTTGTTCTCCCTCCTCCTTAGTGTATCAAACTGGGAGCCAGCAGCCAGTAATGAGGTGAGGGCTGCATAGAGCTCGTCGTACTTCGCAGCCCTGGAGAAAAGGACCTCACACACCTGCAGGAGATGAGAAATCAGGACCCCTGCTCTGAAAAGCTCTTTAAGGATTCAGAATACCCACAGGCCAAAAGCTTGCATAATAAACTTGAGGGAGAAGTTCTGTTGGGACTGAGGATCAATGGACTGGAGATAAGGAGCAGGCAGGAGAGAGAGCCCATAACACTGATGGCAACAAAATCCAGGGAGAACCTGGAGCAAAGTGATGAGAAAACAACTCCAATGCCATGTGTCTTTGAATCCTAAGTATTCCTGCAAGTACTACAAAAGATCTTCACAGACTTCACACAGTGACTGCCCTGACGTCCAACTAGGGGTAAGAAGGAATCTCATGTTATCTTATCTGGCCACTCTTCTCCACTTAGTGAAACATTCTTGGTCCCTCTTTTTAATCAAGTCTTTCCTTCTTGTGTTTTCCCTGGCACTTGGCAAACCCTCATGGCCCTCCAGGAAGTCCCTACCAGCAGTGCCATACCGTGCTATCCAGACGGTTCAGATCATCCTCAGAAGCTTCTGGAGACAGGATGCAGTAGAACCTGGGCTGTGGAGCAGAGTCTGGAACGTGAGAACAAAAAACACCTGTCAAAGTGGCAGTTAAAACAGGCCACCTTGTGTTATATCCTCTCCTCCATGCCCATAACCTGCTGCATTGCATGACCACTACCACATTCCAAGCCAGCTCCATGACACATTATAGGTGCTCTAACCTGTGGTATAGGCAGGCACAGCTTTCCTACTCCTACAATCCTGGCAAAATAAACACACATTTATTTTTAATTACTTGTTACATACTCCTAAAGAGAACTTTGAATTCTGTTTCATAAAACAATTCTTGCATTATTATATGTATTTTTGCCTATTGTAACTATAGCCATTAAAAGCAGGAAAATATGCCCAAACCAAGGCACAGAAAAGGCTCTCATTTATTTATAAAAGCAAATCTTGCAATAAAAAATTTCTTGTATTTTCTTTCTTACCTGATGAACAATGTTTGGTCCAGTTTTCTTCCACTTCTTTAAAGCCATGATAAAGTGGGGCAGATGTTCGTCTGCTGCTGTCCTGGGATCCACTCACCCAGCCAATGGGTGGAGTCAGCAAATTGTATTGTACCTGAATTAAAAAAAACCAAACAAACAAAAACTCACCCATGGCATCCTTGTCACTGAGGGGTAGGGGGGAAATACCATCCCACAGAGAAAGAAACACAAAACAGAAACAGTCCTATTCAAAACACAATATTCCACTCTTCTGGGGGAAGCCCTGGGCCCTCCCTGATGGTTTTTATTCTGGACTGAGCAGTTTAAATCCACAGCCAAGCTTCCCACAACTGGAAAAGCCAGGCACAAAGAACCATCTTCTCCCATTAATGAGGACAGCACCAAAAACCTCCACAGTCAAACACTAAATCAAGGAAGTACAAAAGGCATTTGTGAAATCAACAGCCAAATACTCAGGACTTTAAAGATATGGCAGGACAATCATCCTGTCCTTGCTAGGATTTATTAAGACACCAGTCACACCAGGAATTGACACTCCAACTGAACCTGCTGCTAGGAGCCAGCCATAATTAATAATCCGTTGGAACTCCAAAGTTTGGTAACAACATCAAAACTGATCTACTCACAGGAGTCATGGAAAGAACACATCAAATGATTGTCCATTACAGATTCCTGCTGGGTAACCAATTAAATACCCAGATGTCAAAACCTTACCTGTTCAAACAGGTACATGGGGGCCTTGGAGTACTGGTGGAGCAGGTAGTCAAACACCAGGAGCAGCCGTGCCACGGTAAGAGGCACAGAACACTGCTGGGTCTCCATGTTTGCTGTCAGCTCCACGATGGTCTGGATACAGAGCATCATGACAGATCTGCGGCCCCTCTCCGAGAAATTGTGGAAAATGAGCAGCAGCAGCTGGAGATGCTCCACATTCAGATCTTCTGTGTCACTGGGGAGAGTCCCCTGCAAGGCATTTTGCTTCAGGGTGCCCACAAACCTGGCAACAGGAAAGGAAGTTTGCCAAGTTTAGTTTTCCTCTTAGATCCCTCTTTAAAATCTCTTTAACTAGAAATAATTATATTTTTCTGCTTACTGTCCTAATACTGGCAATTTCACAAATGTTCACTACATTTTTGTATTAGGATGAGACTGTGTGAGCAGTAGAACTACAGAAATTAAATCAGTGGTAAATGTATTTAGTGGAAAACAGGAACAATCATTCAAATGGAGAAGGGGTGATTCAAACCTGTTCATTAGAGCTTTAAACCACCTAAATCCTATCAGTGAAAGCCAGGTAATGGCAGAGAGGTACAACCTCAGCACCATTCTAACAGGACCTATCAGAACCCTGCTGAAAAATAAGAGATCCTCCCTCCCTTTTTACAGCCAGTCTTGGTGGAATTCAGCCTCCCTCCCCAACTCCTGAGTGCAGGTCTCATTTGCTGGGCTCTGGGTGTAGGATTTCCCAGCACAGCAGAATGACTCTCTGCTCCCCCCAGCACCCCACGGATCCCAGATCAGTGAACACACACACTTGGAATGCTGGGGGTAGAGAATTCTCACTTGACAGGAAATGGAGAGGTAAGAGATGACTGATTTCCAGTTAACATAAAATGATCTCACCTTTCCCAGACTTTAAGGCATTCTGGAACATCAGGATCTCCCTGGGAAGTGGCTTTATGCTGCCAAATCAAGAGTAGTCGGGACAGCACAGACAAACTTTGAGGGTGGATGTAGAGAGGCCACGGACCTTCAGAAAAAGGGGCAACTCCCAGCTGCTGGAGAAGTGTGTTCTGGAATAAAACAGGCTTGTTGGAAAGAGGCAAGTCCTGTCTGATGCTTTAATTAATTAAAAGTATCATCTGAACATACAGTTGACAACAAACAGCAGGACTCTCAGCTCTGCTCACACAGCAATGGCTCTCCTGTCTCAGATACAGGGCAGAGCTACTGAGAAACACTCAGTGCTGTCACTTTACCACCTAAACACAACAAAGTCTTAACAGCAAGGCAGAAAAAATGGCATTAATGAGTTTCTCATTTACTGCAATATCAAGAGCAGGAGAGACTATACTACTGTGTTCAGTATCTGTGAATCAGCAAAATGAGCCCTTTGACTGATCACAGCAATATTTGCTTCTTTTTAAATGTAATGAAAAGGCAGATGGATGAAAAGTCCAAATGCTTTTAAAAATTAACAAACAGTGTTTTAAATACAGCAGAAAACAGAACATGAAGTATAGGAGTTGGATTCAGTGATGGGTGAAGCAGGTTCATAACCTCCATGACAGGGTTAAGTTAGGTCAGCCCATGACCCAGCATAGAAACCTAGAGGCTACAAAGTTAGGACATGAAAGCAAAAGGATTAATTTGATTTTCTCCTGAGAAATTCCAAGGTCTTTTGGCATCAGTCCTGACAGCAGAGCAAGTCTGTAGGAATGTCTCTTGATAAACTCATGGATAGAGGCAACTCTCCAAGACAAAATACACAAACTCATTTCCTTCTCAGCTTTCATCATCTTCAAAGTCCAGTGGATTAGTCTGAACTGTAAATGTTACGTTTACACTGTGCAGGATGTTTTGTGCTGGATGACTGCAAAGGTCATTTAAATCACAGGACTCAAAATATTCCAACCTCTTTTTGCAAAATATACTCAGGGCCAAATGGAACAACCAACACATTATTCAAGGTGTGGAGAACTCATATAGAGGCATAAACAGACACCAACACTTCTTCATGGTATTTATGCATTCAATCCCAGCTCACCTGCAGGGCGGGGGATTGAAGATCTGAGGTTACCAAGGAATGGTTGAAGTGATACAGAGCAGCAGCAAACTCCTCATCTGACGTGCCTGTAAGACAGGGATCAAGAGCCACTTACTACCTTGGCTCTCCAGCACTTAAAACTTTGGCACAAAACTGAAAAGCAGAAACACCTCTGAGCTGTACAGCTCTGCCAGAGGGGTTTGCTCACTCACCCTTCAGGCCATCCTTGTCCACCTCCTTGATGATGCTCGCCAGCGTGGCCATGTGCTGCTCCGACAGGGACACGCTCAGGTAGTTGCGAATGAAGTTATTCCTGGAGTTCAGCATAGAAGAAGTGATAAAGTTCAAAATGTTTGAAGCTAGGCTCAAAAACTGAAAAGAAAAGAGAAACACACTATAGAAACAACAAAAGCAGAGGGACAACATTAAACAAAAACTAAACCACCACCAAAATAAATCAAGTCCCTTAAACCTCACACCTCCCTGCAGTGGAGGAAAGGTGCACTCATGGTAATCCAGCTCCCTGCACTGTGGTCTGGCCCAGGACTGATTCCAGAACTCTCTGAGACGGTTGGAGGCCTCCAACTTCTCCACTGCAGTACTTATTTTTATCTTTACCCAATGGAGTTGAGCTAAAAGCATTCTATCAGCAAATCATGTCACTTGCAGCGGGAGGGGAGGGGAAGGGAGGGGAGGGGAGGGAGGACCAGACCCACTTGCTGTTTCCAGCACAGCTGTCCCTGGCAGCAGCACGGTGCCACAGCCCAGCAGTGCCTGCCCCAGCCCCCCCAGCTCCCGGGGCCAAGCTCTGGCCGTACCAGCTCGGGGTCCTTGCGGCTGGCCAAGATGTTCCCGTTCTCCCCAGCACTCTGCTTGTTGGGGCTCTTCACCCTCGGTGAGCTCTCCAAAGGAGGGGGTGGAGGGGGTGGTGGTGGGGCCACTTTCTCCTTGCTGGGAGAGATTGTCTCTTCAAACCATTGCCCCAGGATTGGCTCACTGTCGTCATCTAGCACACAGAGCAGGAACAACAAACACATACTGTTATAAGCAAATGTCTCACAAAACTACCCAGCCTGAGAAAGGCCTAAAACAAAATTTCACTGAGCAGCCTTAAGTCTGCTATCTTCATTTCTTCTGTCCAAATCACAAGGCAAAGCCCTTTCACAGAGGTTCAGCAAGAATGTGCACAAAGAATTATTTCCACTCTCCTCTTAAGCAAATACTGTCAAATCCCAGCCACTCAGGCTTCAGGGTACACAAAAGAGTGTAGTCAGCACTACTTCTGCCACACAGACCTTACAAACTGCTCTGTATTTTCAGTGTTACAAGTCATAGTCTGAGAAGGCAACAGCACAAGTAGCCAGGTTTCCATTAAATGTGAAAAGCAGTGTAAAATCCTGAGCTGCTGCAAACTCTACTACCTTGGCTGCTGTCCTCCTCAGTGCTGCTAAAGTCATCCTCATAGTAAGTGTTGGAGTCAGTGGAGGCACTGGCATCGCTGCTCATGGAGCCCTTCCTCTGGCGCTGCAGGACACAGGCCTAAAGAACAGCACAACCAGGAACATTTTAGGGTTATAATAATCCTAAAAGATAGGATTTAGAAAGATAGTAGTTTGAAAATAAGAGTAACTTCCTCACACTTTTTAATTTTCTTCTAGCAAATTTATCTCAACTAGTTTATTAAGAGTTTTTCAAGGCTTAAGTTGCACTAAAAATACACAGGATGGTTGAAAATAAACAATCCATGCCAAGCTTGTCAGCAACACTTGAAATAACAGTTTTAATACAAAATCATCTGCTACCCATGCAGCCTTCTCATCTTCCCACTAAAATCACAAGTACCACTGAACTTACAAAAAAAGTGCATTTCCATTAGCACAAGTTTGTCAAATTTACATCTCTGAAAAGAGGAAAGAAGAAGGCTCTGGCTGATGACTTTTGCAAGAAGAATTGTATGCTCTCAGCACAGCCCCAGTTTGTTAAGTGCTGACCATCTGGAGTGGCTCAGCTCCAGAAGTTCTCTAGCTGTGTGCTAGGTCCTACCTTTCTGTAGGAAGTGGAGAGCAGAGTCAGCAGCAGATTAGTGAGTGGCACAGAGTCTATGAGCCGCTGGATCCTCTGGATGGATGTGCTCTGAGCCATGATATCCAGCACTGCTGGAGGGCCATCGCTCTCCCAGCCCTGGAGGACAGAATTTCAAATTGAATTGAAGGAAAAAGAAATTGGCAGGAGAATTCCAAGTGTGCATCAGTGCAGAAGGCAGAATGTCTCAGGACAATGTCTGTGCTACCTGCATACCTTGTGCAACGCCTCCACCTGCAGATCTTGGAAAAGAGATGACAGCAATTTGATGGCATGATTTGCCAGCACTACTGACAGCACCCCAAACCCTTGATGCCTGCAGAAACAGAAAGGAAAGAATGTAATTTCAAGGGGAAAATAATAAATAAATAAATATTCAATAAAGTGACTGCTTTGCTAAACTGGACACAACAATTTTTCTTCTTTCCAAGACTCGGGACTTGAATTGCAAATAGAGATAAAATTTCATGAGACCAACAAGACCGTGCAGTAGGTGCTTGCTGGGGCTGGTCAGACCCCTGGACAATGCTTCCTGCAGGGCTGCCACCTACCCTTTCCCAGGTCCCAGCTTGGGAGACCCCACGCCCTCCTTGGTGCGAGCGATGATGTCTCTGACACGAAGAGCAGCCAAGGGATCCTTCTCCTTCCCCTTATCAGCCAAGGCTGTGGGGCTGAGGTTCAAGATGAGGAAGAGGCTGTTCAGCAAACACCAAGCCCCGAGCAGCTGGAAGTTCTGATAATGCTATCGTGCCAAAAGTCGTGGGGAAGCGGGGAGAAAAAAGCACCAAAAAGACAAAACACCGTCAATCCAAATGCCAATGTACAACAGCAGAAAAAGGATGAAGAAGCTTCCTGAGATGGAAATCTTACCTCCCCCCCTGCACGGCGTGAATTGCTGATGGCTTGTCCAATCATTTCATAGATTTCAAGCTGTAAATAAAGCCAAAACCATAGTAAGGCACTCCACCAGACAGCAACAAAAATAGAAACTCCAAATGCAATTGTATTTTACCCTCTACCCCTTTACCAGCAATGGCTATGTCCCGAAATCATAACTGTGTATTGCAATGCAAATAAATATAAATTCTGTGCTCTTCACTTGCTGAGGAGGAGAACAGTGAATGCTCTGTCATCTACTTACACATTTCTGTACAATAGTAGCAGCATCGTTTTCATAATCTTCTTCTTTGGAGCTCGTTGACCCGGTTCGTACCTGTTGGGTGCTGCCCACGTGCAGGATGGCCATGCAGGTGGCCACGCTCACACCTCAGGGAAAACAAGTGCAAGGGACATTCTTAGGGAGAGCCAGTCTTGGGACAAAATGTTCCTATTTAGCACATTAAGACAAGTGCTATCAAATGTGTCCATCAACTTGATGGAGTAGGAATGCTCAATATTACAGAGAAAGATTAAAAAATCTTTAGTACCCTCAAAAGAGTGAAGTTTTACCCTACAGAAACACATGGGGGCAGATAAAGGAGGTAATGTTTCACCATGTAATTCAATACCATTTTTAAGACAATCTTAAGACTCGAGTGCCACATCTCCTTCAAGTCTCCCCCATACCAATTAAACACCCAGGATTCTGGTGTGCTTAAACCACTCCTGGGAAACAAGGCTGATTTGGGGCTATGACAAATTAAGCTGAAGCCTAAAGTAAAAATGAATTATGCTGTGAATATAAAAAGAAAGAGCAGAAATTACAGGCTGTTAAGAAAATGTTGAGTCAGTCTTTCTTAGATACTGACAGGAACAGTCATTCTATCAGTCATTTCTTAGCTACTGACAGGAACAGTGGCAGAACATATCGGTAACAATTTCAATGTTAACCCGATCACCACAGTGTGCTGCAGAGCTTCAAATTCATGAGAAATAAAGGCTACCTGTGGGCTGAGCTTCAAACATGCAGGTAACAAAGCACAGCCAAAAGCTCCAAAAAACGACTGGAGATCCACTCACCTGCATAGAGACAGCTGAGAGCAAGAACAGTCACATCCTGGAGACGTGTGGGCGTCAGGGGCTCCAGCACGGGCAGGGACAGAGTATCCAGAGCCATGGTGACATCGATCACCAGCGAGTGGAACCTGCGGGCAGGACACACGGTGAGCACTGGCCAGGCACAGCGACCTCCCCCAGGCACACGGGGTGCCCCAGGCAGGGCTGGCACTGACCCGTTGCGCACGGCCGTGGCGTCGGCCACGGTGGCCGGCATGATGAAGAAGGAGTTGGCGGACACGGCGTCCTGGAAGCGGTTGATGTAGCGCAGGAAGTACGGCAGGTTCAGGCACACGCGCAGCAGCTTCTCGGAGCCACCTGCCAACCACAGCGGCAGGGCTGTGTCACCCCTTCAGCCCTAACGGCCCTCAGTCATTGACTTAATTGCTCTTGGTGGTGAGAAAACGCCATCGGCGATGAGGCAATAGGATAAAGAGTACTCTACAACAGCAGCTGCTGAAGTCTGCAGCCCACACTTGTAAACAGGGCTCACAAGGCTCTGTGTCCATGTTATAGGACACACCAGGTCCAGCTGGTGGGACTCGATGATCCCAAAGGTCTCTTCCAACACTAACAAGCCTGTGACTCTAATCCACATCTACTCAACAATCCATCCCATAAGGTATTTCATACTGTCCACCTAATTTACCCCTCCAAACACAAATACACTGAACTCATCTCTGCAATAAAATCTCCATTCCAGCCACAACCTCCCATGGTGACTGACCAGGCAACTCAGGGAACCCTTTAGGTCAGAGAGTTTCTTCCCACTCAGAACTGTGAGATGTAACACTGGAGAGAAATTTTTCCAGTACTTTTTTGTGCCCAAGCAAGAAAGCTGATTCTCACCAAGTTCTTGCAGGCTGGCCACATTCTGAGCAATGAATATGCTCTTGGTCTTTGTTGCAGAGGTTTGATCTGTGCCAGCTTGATCCTCATTCTCTCCTTCCACCTAAAGCAAGCACATATTAAATATATTATGGAGGCACTAAAAATACACAGTATTTCTCTAAGTCTGTACACAGAAACAAGGTGCATCAGCAGCACAATGCCAAATAGTAATGGATGTCACTGAACATTGCATTCCATAAGGAAACAAATCCAGTATTGCCAATGTAGCACAAACAGTATTTGGTTGTTTGCCATTTATCTCATGCAAGCAGGATTTATGTACATAAGAAAGGTTCTCTTTACATCTGTATGGAAAAGTACTGCTTGGAGCCCTCTGTCCTTCCCTGCACTGGGTTAATAATATTGAAATTCAGACTGTTTCTGTTCTAGAGTTTTTTTTACCTGTGTCTCTGTTGTGATTGATGGTGATGATGAGACTCTGGGGTTAAAGACTGATGTCAATTGGTTGAGGAAATTCATCTGCACTTCCTTCTGTCTCAGCTCTGGACTCACTGGGGAGGCCAATTCCTTCTGGTCCTCAACTGCAGGGAAAACAACAAAGCCCCATTTCAGACAGCAAACTTCAGATTTTCTGTGCTAACTCCCGTGCTGTAGTGAAATACAGACAGCTGAAGCCCCTCCCTACCATCAGAGAGGGTTTTGACAGTCTGAGGCAGCTTGGCAGATTTCATCATCGCTGTGAAGGTGATGATTTCTGTGCGGTCCAGGCGGCTGCAGCCCGTGCACAGCCCCTTGATCAGCAGAATGAGGTGTTTCTACAGAAAACAGAGACATCAAGTACCATTTAAATTCTCTTGATTCCAATCCCTCCTCCATAACATTTACTCTAAGCAGATGGATTAAGAATAATGCAACTTCAGCTGGTGGGGCCATTGCAACAGCTCTGAGCCACTCTGATCTCCCCTGAGGATCGAGACACATCCCTGACTGCAGGTAATCCAGGTCACTGACACTGCCTGTGCTTCCTATGGAAAACACCTGGAAAAGCTCTCTCTGCTGTGACACACCACATTATGGGAACACTCCTCACAGACTTTCCCTCTTTGACAAGACAGAAATACAATCAGGCCAGAAAACATCTTTAAAAACTCAACAGATATCTGTGATCCAGGTCGTTGCACAAAACCAAACCAGAGTGTAGGAGACAAACTGAATTAACCAAGGCTTCAGGTCATCTTTGTTTCAAGTTGTGAGCAAGCTTTGATTTTGAGTATAGAATGCAAAGGGAAGATTCAGCAGGAATCAGAGTCTACCAAAGTGTATGTGTTGAATATGTTAAGAGTTTAATTGATTTTGCTTTATGCATTCAACATTAGAGCAGGTATTTCAGAATTAGAGCCCAAAGTCCATTCTCACACTGAGGCTGGCCCAGGAGGTCCAAACCTGTGCTCACCTGTGAAACAGCACATGCTTCGTCTGGGTTCTCAAGGCGCAGCAGGGAGAATTCAATCAGGACTTTACACGCAGCTGCCACTGACTGCAACTGGTTTCTGGGTACTGAAAAAAGCACATCCCTTTACTCAGAATAAGTTTTAAAATAGCCCAGTGTAATAAGCTCCCAATGCTGTCAATACAGCAGGATGCTCTGCAGTGTGGGTACACACTCAATCTCTCCTGCCTAACACAGATGCAATATAAACTCAGTCTCATTACAATGTAACCCAAGAAATGTCAGCAAAGTGAGGATAATTCCTTCTGCCAGACAGTGGAATTCAGACAGATAAAGCAGTTTCCCCAGTAACATTATTTAATGCTGACAGAAGCTCTGAAGAACATGAAACAAGTTCACAAAGCCTGTTTTTTTGTTGAAATTGCTAAATTGTCAGCCAAAAAAACAGAAAATATTTTGAGTCACAATGTTTTGATCATTAACTCCAACACAGTAATGTAACTACAGAAGCCCTGAACGGTTTGGGTTGGAAGGGACCTTAAATCTTTAAATCCCATTTTGTTCCACTCCCTGCCATGGCCAGGGGCACCTTCCACTAGATCAGGATGCTCCAAGCCCCATTCCCAACTTTTCCAGGAACAGCAGTGTTCTAACTGCTGAAGGATAATCTAAAAATCCTGAACACTGATTTAAACACTTGACCAAAAATTAAATCAGGTCAATGAATAAGCAGCCAAAAAGGCAATGCTGTCCAGTACTTGGTGGCCAAATACTCCCATCAACAAGCTTCCCTTTCCATCAGAGCTGACATTTCATGGAACAAAAGCCAGCAATGCTGGCCCTAAAGTCTGATTCAGCAAGAAGGCAAAAAACAAATACACAAATCAACAGTTCTGATTTACTTTTACTGCATCCAGTCATTACACAGGAGCAAGAGAAGCAAAGGAACACTTACTGAGACCACACACAGTAGTGATGTAGTGTGTGGAAAGTGCAACGAAGGAGGAGTAAAAAGGCTCGTACTGCTTGTCGTGGTGCAGGATCTCAGATTCACTGCAATGGAGAAGGGCACAGAGGTCAGCCAGACCCAGCACAGCAGCAGCACCACCCAGCACCCCAATGTGTCCAGTGACAGGGGCAAGACAAGGTGACAGCTCTGGGAACACAACCCTCATGTCCCCAGGACTGAGTCCCTCAGCAGCAGCCGGATCATGGTGGGCATCACTGCCTGCACAGGAAATGTAAGGAAATATTGTGCTGCCAGTGTTTCTCCTCCACAGCATCAACAGGTCAGGCTCTACCAGCCACACTCCCTGCCAGGGGCTCATTAACCTTTAAGTTGTTCTAAACTCAGCTGCCCAGAGAGCCTGGACTCTGTGTTCTGCTAGGCTGGCAGGGTTTGCCAGGCCTGGAGCACAGGCATTCCTTTCCCAGCACTGCACCGAGGCAGCTGGAGCTTGTGCAAGTCTGCAAATCAAAGCAGCAACTGCAGAACCACAGCACACACAGGCACAGCACCCACCACCACCTGGAGGGATCTGGGCAGGTAAGGCAGAGTCCCTGATGCTTCTCAGCTACACTCACTGGCCTCAGAGATCAGCCAGTTGTGGCAGAGGCGACACCTTAAAGGTGTCCCACCACACGCCACCTGCACACACACTGAGAACACAAACTGCTCTGCCTCCACACCTCCTTTCTGCTCTCATTTTTCCTGTGACAAGACTAAGAGATGTGCATGCCTGCCTCGTAAACAGTCAGCTTACTTCCTTTCACGTTTTCATGCAGTGATGTAGAACAGATGACTAGACTCAGCTTCACTCTGTCTCTCCAAACGCAGACAGGCTTCTCCACCTCTGGGCCAGAGGTGATTCCTGGAGAGCAGGTGGGGAGCAGAGGGCAGCAGCCCAGGCACAGGCTGTACCCAGCTCCAGCCACGATTTCACCATTCCCTGCTGACCTGTACAAAGCCCAGTTTATGCCCAGTCACCTTCCCTCTTTGCACCCTAAGCCAGTTTCCAGCTGTAACAGGAGGTGCAGCTAGAACAGAAACAACTCTGGAACAGAACCATTTCTCCACAAAAACGAGCAGGGAGAAATACTTGTCAGTTTTGTAGCTTGATTTCCTAGGTCTGAGGTTTTATTTAGTCTGCCTAAAAAGCTGAAATACAAATAGAAAAATGGAAAATGAAGAGACAGGCTTTACAAGAATATATTCAACAGTGCCACACGACCGAGTTCCAACACCTCGGGCCTCACCTCACCCTCTCCTGCCAGAACTGCTCTGGTGAGGAACAAGCCCAGAGACTGAACATGCAAAGCAGTCTGTGCTCTCTCCTTTTCAGACATTAATTTTGCTCACCTACCTCTCAGGCCCAACTCCAAGCCAGCAGCAGTAGATGTATGTAAGCATTGTTAAGAGAACAAATTAGAACAATTTGGGAATAACAGAGTACAGGAGAGGCTGACAGCTCCTAAATTACTGCATAGGTCAAGCTGTGCACCACAGAGTGCCCACAGGGTATAAAGAACACAGAGGTGCAGAATCCAGCATGAGATAGGGATTGGGCAATGGGAGGCTTGAGCTTCGCTTAAACACACTGTGGATGTTATGATAATGCAAAGTGGAAGGCAACATTCAAGTCATCATCAATCCTTGCAAATAACCATGGACAGAAGATAACAGTTCCATCTGGGATGTGCCAGAGTGTTATTCTGAGCACACGGTGAGCTTTAATAATGACTTTTCAGCCTTTGTAGTGTGCTTTATAGCTTAGAGGGGTTTTGCTTCCCAGGGAAGCTCATTGCTGAGGCTGAGAGAAGTCTCAGAGTCACTGTACACGTTAATCAGCACCAAACACAGCCCCTGCCTCAGCTCTGCTCCCCAGTGCTGACACCC